ATAAATGTACAATACCTCTTTCATGCCTCTAAGCTGGTAACACAGCAGGCAGTACGATTTTATAAACAAGACATAGTCTTGTTGACAATTAATATTTTAAGGTAATATTGTTATTGTACAACAACTTTTGTAACAACATTTAATAAAACAAATTTCAATATTTTAAATTTATAAACAAACTGTTCAAACTTTTCTAGAAAAACTAAAATTTATTGTTGTGTATTAAATATTTTTTATTAATAAAAATTTAAGATTTGTTTTAGTTTTTCACATTATTTAGTTTTGTTTTATTTATTGTTTTATATTTTTTGTGCGCTCTATTTCTTGTGGGAGAGGGAGGGGGCACAGTAAGAAGAAAATGTCTAAGGCCCCAAAGTGGGTTAATCCAGTCCTGGAGAACTCCACTTTGGGGACCCCCATAATTTAAAAGGATCTTTAGTGTCTTGTATCTGGGCAAATGAGTGCCTACATTTAGCAATATAGTCTGGCACATAGTTATTGTGAAAGATTTGCCTATGGATGTTGAAACTGCTGCTCTAGATCCCTCACGCTTGTACATGGCTGACTGTCATACAAGATGGCTCCTTAGACTAGCACACCAGCTATGGGAGACAATAGAGAAGTATGCCACTCCACTGTACAGGTGGGATTGAATTGCTTATCACTGGTCCTTCACATGGTCACATCATCAATTCCCAAACAGAACTGAGATTCATTGCTGAAGACTAAATGCTGCCAGTCTTTAGAAGTCCACACTTCTCTATTACAGTACACTGCAAATGAAGCAAACAATATTGGGGTGCTAATGACAGAACATACAACAGTTGCCATATATGCAAATTTTGTGCTTGTCTCTTAATCAGACAATTCTTTCCCAGTGGTCTGTCTTCCAAGGCTGTCCACCATGTATGTGTGCCCTGACATACCCACTGTCCCAACTCCTCCTGACAGTCATGTCAAAATATCTTAGGGGGTGGGCCATCCTGCAGTTATTCTCAAACTCCATCAGCTGTGTGTAATGTCTTGCCTGGCATTTGAAGACCTCCAAACAGTAGTTACAATGAAAACAATGAAGATAGTGAGCCTCTGCAAGCCTTTTTATAGGATATTGGGGTAGCAATTTTCCTGGTGGCATTTCCTGGCATACAATTGGACTACAACTATAATCATTTACACACTTGTCTGAGACACAGCTGTAAGCCAAATTTTGCATATCATACAATTCAATTTGGATGCATGGCTTTTACTTTTCCAATTGTTATAGCATAGCACCAGAAAGTATTGTAATTGTGTCAAATTTGACTCTCCAGATATTTTTAAAAATCTTGACATTTTGAGAACTCCTGAATCCAAAAAAGTAAAAGGGAGGAAAATTCCCTGAATGTAGGCGCTGGCATCTATTTTGTTTAATATCTTAGGATAAGGTAAGGATTAAGAAAAAATTTGACATGGCAACTTGTATATCAATCACTAATGATACACCAACGCTATTAAATTCTAGAAAATGGAACTCAAAGGGATGGGGAGATAGAGGTGAGATTATATTCATTAACTCTGACCCCACTTGAGATAAGCCTTGTGTCTTATCTCAAGTGGGGTCAGAGTTAATGAAATTTTACTTGTTTTTGGAATTTATAATATTTTTAAAAAGTTGTCTTTACCCTCAAAATTAAGCCTTTTGTCTTTTTATAATAATTAATAACATAAAAGTTATTTTTTAATAACATCTTGTAACAGATGGTACTATATACAATTTTAACTTTGAGGTAGTGCCACAGTATTTTTTAAACTTATACATTTTTTAAATGGAGATTTTTATCATAATTAAACAAAATTACCCCTTTTACGCTTTTATTATTACTTAAATTTTATATCCTAGTATAACTGTGGATTCATTATGGAACTTCCTAATACTGCTCTCAACCTTCTGTTCAAGTGCTGGGAAAGTTAAGCAAGAGTCCTTGCTAGCTTTCTTGTTAATGATTGTATTTTTAATTTCATTTGTTTTAACAAGCACATAAAATATTTATTTTTATGTCATATTCATTATACTGAGAAAATTTTAATGAGAAATTAACATAAAAAATTAAATTGCAAATACTTTTGTCCTTCAACAGAAACTTCAGGTAATCTTACTTATCTTTTAAAACTGGAAGATTATTCTGCTGTATCCTGTATATGCAAACTTCCTTATTGTGCCTGTAGGAGATGTAGCTTGTTTATTCTCATTATATTTGTTAAAACTATAAATATCAGAGATAACTCTGAACATACATTAAATCAAGTGATGTCCAATATAACTGCCACTAGCAACATGTGACAAATATGTTATTACTCTATACTTAACTGCCAAGAAATACCATTTAAAAAAAAGCACTCATTGTCAATGTATAAAAAATAAATATAATTATTTTATTAAAGCAATTTCTGACAATTTTTTGTTTGCTGAAATACTAATTAACAGGAAATCAACAATTAGCTTGTTGTGTTAAAAGAATAATGCCTGAAGTTAAAATTTATGCATATTTGTGATTACTTTTGCTTTTAAGTATTCCACAGTTTTATACAATTTCTTTTAAATGGGAAATGAAAAGAAAATTATATAAGTTTATATGTTGCAAAATTTAATATTAAATTTATAAATGTAATTATTAATATAAAATTAAAATGCAGTAAAGAAAATACTGTATATGATTGCATAATAAAGAATACTAAATAAGTGAAGCACTCATCAATTTAAACAAGATAAAGTTTTTTTAAGACTGTCTTTTATATATCAACTTTAAATCTCAATCAGGTGTTCTTAAGGTTTGAATGTTTCAAATCCATACTCAGGGTTCAGATTTAGATAACTAATGAAAATAAGTAAGCATATAATATATTCAATTTAAAAGCATTAAATGATATCTGAAGAAAAGATTACAAATTTCAAAGAGCATTTTATCTTGTTTAAATTGATTACTCTTTCACTTCTGTTCTTTATTGTGCAATGATTTTATGGAGTCAAAGAAAATATACAAATTCACAATTTTTTAAATCTAGCAGTGTATCCTAAATATATACTATTTATTTATTCAACAAGTATTTTTTAACTTATTAATTTTTGTAAATTTTATACTAAATAAAAATGTTTACATAATTATTTTATTAAATTTAATTACTACTTACCTTTGCATTTCCTTTTTCATCTAATAATATATTTTCTAATTTTAAATCTCTATGGCATATTCTATTCTAGAAATAAAAACAAAAGTTACATTTCACTTTTCAATTACTTGAATTAAAGAAAATATTCACAAGAAGAATTCAAATTATTCTAACAGATGCAAAATAGTTACAAATGTTTATGAATGTTATATACATATACTATAGAATTCAGATGAAAATCACACACAAAAAAATGTACTTTTATATATATATATATTTTCCTTTTAATATGGTTTCTAATACATCAAACTCTTCTAAAATTTAATAATTAAAAAGATTCTACTTTCTATTCTAGAACATTCAATTAAGACTGAAACAAACATATTCAGATTTTAGTTTATGTGTACTTTTATAAAATAGGAATTTTTTATAAACTTTTCATTGTTCTTTAAATAATCTTATACAGTCGACCCCCCTATAACACGGGTTCCTATAGTTCGGATTCCTATATGACGGCGAAAAAATTGCGACGGTATCCATACAAACATGGTAAAAAAAACTCCTATAATTCAGTAAAACGTCATCGGGTAGCTGAACTACTTTCTGCCTTCCAGCACCACGCTATGGAGAGTTTAAGCGGGTAAATTGAGTTTACTATCGTCTGTACAGTATTATATATAAATTAGGTACTGTACATATAATTATATATTAACTTAATTTATTGTAACTTTATTATAATTATATATATACTTTCTGCCGTCCAGTGTCACGCTACGGAGAGTTTAGGTGAATAAGTTGAGTTTACTATCGTCTGTACAGTATGTAAATTAGGTACCATAAGTCTAATACAGCACTAATTTTATACATTTCTTATTCAACGACCATAAAAATTATTTCTATTAATGATGTCTCCAAAGTTCAATGAAGTTTTCGCAGAAAAATAACTTATCAGAAATCATGCCTGCTGTTTGGTGCGCTGCTCCATGACAAAAACAAGCTTAAGCAATGGCGACGTCGAATGGTGCACACTCGGTAAGTAATCCTACAATTTTTTCTTTATAGCATAGTTTATACGAGTTATTCCCCAAAAAATATACGTGATTTGGAAATGTTGAGTCGAATTAGTCTAGGAATCAATTAATTTTATGGAAGAAAACTTTTCAAACAGCCAAGTCCGTAAAGTGCATACGTGCCGGACTGTGATTGGCAAGGACTCGTACAAAATGGATTCATAAAGAACGGAACATATCTACCGTGTTATGGGGGGGTCGACTGTATTTTCTGTTTATTTAGTGCACATAAAAATTTTAACAGTAGAATAAATTATTACAGAAAAATTAATTGATATCCACATAAACATAAAATGTAAAGAATAATTTACAGACATACCATGGAATATATTGACACACAAAATGTCAAATAAAAACAATGTTTGCTCTAAAAGTGGGCAGAAAAATAAATACTTTTCTGTTAATATGTAATCTTCTTGAGATTTGGAACAGAATAAAATAAATACAGTAGAGCATCGATTATCCGACCCCCGATTAACCGTCACATCAGTTAACAAACCGTTCTAGTCGGCAAATTCAAATGTCCGCTAGTGATGTGGCACTACAATATTTGGCTATGTCTTGGCTACTTTTAATAGTATTTTTACGTGTTTTAGATGGCAACATGGCTCGACCGTGAAAGGGAGCCAGTATTTAAACGAGGCTTAATTTTCTAATTTTTAACAATACAATAGCGACGAATATTATTTTAAAAAAATTTTTGTTAGGCTTAACATTGATGAAAATTCAATGCGAAGTAGGTTAATAGCGATATATTAATATACTAATTACATGAGATATACTAATATACTATACTAATAATGTTTTTTTTTCATATTTTTCGGTTATCTGTTTTTTCAGTTATCCGACCAACCCCAGTCCCCAATTGAGTCGGATAATCAATGCTCTACTGTATATGCATTTTTTTTTAAACGTTAAACATTCAAGTAAAACATGCACAAAGGGGTCATTCAAATCAGATGTCACCACTAATTTTAAGTCCTTTTTCACTACCTACTCCCTCTCTGTCACAGTTGACTTTCCACCCTGATATTAAAATCAAACATTTCTGTAAAACAGATATATAGTACGTTAATTTATTCATATTTCGTGACAAAGCAATGCAAATTAAAAAAAAAAAACCAATAGAAAAAAAATGAAGGTCACTGATTTACCACAGAAGAAGAGCCTGATGACATTGTAATTAGTAACTCATAGACTAAAGATAATGTTATATACCAGTATATACAAGTATCTTTTAGTGGTATCTTTATCAATAAAAGTTAAATTGTTGCTATTATCCTTGTTAATATTAAAAGTTCTACAGCATTTCCAATAGAGCATATCTAGTATAGAGCTTCTACTAAAATGAAACTGTACTACCCAAAGTGAAAATAATATTGGACTTCACGTCGAATATTGGATAAGTAAAGTTGAGAAAATTATCATCTAGGCGTTAACAACCTACAACTATCGCTACAAACAACTAGCGCTTTCAACTTTTACTGGTCGCATTTGCCATATTTTTAGGCAGCATGCGCTTTTCCTGCCAGTGTCGCCGTGGCCAAACCTTAGAAGAATGTTATGCAATGACAGGGATCCTTTTTCTATGCTAGAGCGGTCTGGAGTGTATGCCATCCCATTGGAAAGTACAACATCTGGTACTCATACCCAGTATATCGAAGCGACATCCAGAATGTTGTCTTGCCGCATTTCTGAACACAAACAATCTATTAGTACGGGTAGGTGCGACACCGAGTTGGCAAGATTGGTGTTGCAACACCAATATACTCCAATGTGGGATCAAGTGGGGATACTCAAACAATGTGATAGCAGGAACCTCTTGTATATATGGGAGGTGCTATTTACCAGCGTGCTAAATCCATGCAAAACCCCCACACTGGATGTGCCTTCACTATGGGTCAACGTATACAATAGATTAAAACAACGTCGCTAGCTCCACATTCTCGCAAAATATTCTATTGCTCATGCGTGTCGGCATCGAGTGCGCGTCTTTCAAATTCTCTGTTTTTGTTCTATTTTGATTTTATTCCAATGCTGGTTTGCCGTTGCTGCAATTTGAATTTGAAGGTTATTAACTGTTCTTTCCACCTGAAGAAGACGAAAATAGTTTCGTTGAAAGTGCTAGTTGTTTGTAGTGATAGTTGTAGGTTGTTAACGCCTAGATGATAATTTTCTCAACTTTACTACCCAAAGGCAATACAGTTGCATTTTATTACAGAATAAGTTGAACTGAAGTAAATTGAATACAGAATTATTATAGAACATTTTTCATACAGAATATTGAGTGGTATCAATAAAAGATATTAATTAGGCATGATGACAAGTGTGCAATTTGATTTTCAAATTTTTGGTCAGAGCCTTTTGCTTTGGGTGACAACTATTTAAAATAAGCAAGAATTTGTGTATGATCATTGATCAAAATACTTCTGCATAATGATTTTGGTACAAAATTATTTAAAATAATCATCATCATTCTATTAATACTCCCCACTCTGTCACAAAATTTTTGTATATTCCCCTCCCCAGTGCAGATGTCATATTTGAATGACCTCATTTTATATTTATAAAAATAAAAAAAATCTTTAAAAATATCAATACAGTGGATGATCAGTTAACAAATATAATCCGTTCCAAGATTTTGTTCGCTATCCGAATTGTTCATTAACCAATTATGAATTTACCATAGGTTTGTATGGAATTTGATTAATTCATTCTGGAGACCCCAAAAAATAAAAAAATATATTTTCTTACTACGTTTATTTATATGTAATAATAAAAATACATATATACACAGACTTGCATTTTTATTAGTTATGTTTTTTTGTTTGTGGGGGTTAAATAATCTGTCTAATGTCAATTGCTTTTCTCTCTTCTTCAGGATTTTCAGAAGTAATTAATAGCATTGTAATTGTAGAGATCCCCAGGCCTATTAACCTCAACCTGTTTTGTATGCCATTCTAAGACCATCGATCTGGCATCCCCCACTTCTTCAAAAGATCTTTAATTAATAGCAGATATTGGCATTAATCCTCTTTTTCATAATAAAACATATCTCGCTGAGTTTCTTGGTGTTCTTCATTCAAGAATTCTTGGCGTTCTTCTGTCATCAGATCTGTTTCAGGTTCCATTATGAGCTCTTCATTGTTCTTTATTTCTCAGATGTGATTTTTGTTACTCCTTTAGTTGCTTGAGTCTTCTTGATAATACAGTATCTTTCTTAGATAAGATTGAACTGCAGCCTACTGTAGACCTGTTCAAGCCATACTGCCCAGCAACATCAGACATCTTCTGCCCACTCTCTACCTTTGCTATTATACTCTCACCTTTTGAAAATAAAAACTGACACAAAACTTAACAAGTCCCTGCCCAACAGTCTCGCGAATACTATAAAAGAAATGTTTGTCAAAAAAATAAAAGGCTGGAATTACAAGGGAGTATTTCAAAGTTTGAGGGATACTATCTGATCAGTATATATCAGGGTTGAGCATCGACATTGACATCTCTAAAAGTTAAATGAGAACAAAGGAAAATCAGTTGGTATTTGCTATTTTTGTCACTTCTTTTTATGTTTGTTCAGTGAAGTGTTTGTTATCCGATCATGTGTTTGTTGTCCGATCATAAAAATCTTTTGCAAAAGTGTTTGTTATCCGATCTATTCATTAACTGATCACCCACTGTATTTGCAATAAATACTTAACAACATATAAAACAGAGCAAAAAAGTCCTTTTTGTTCTCCCTATCATTAATAGAAGCTCTTCGTGTCTTCATCCTCCTCTCTTTGCCAATACTTACTTATAAAAGGAAAAACAATAAATGATTGTTTAAAAGGAATAATAATAAAAATAAAAATAGAATAAAAGAATACTGGTAATATGATGTCAAGCAAATGTTAGAAATGTCATTTAAAAGTTTACACTCCTGACATATTTTAAAAAACTAGATGTAATTATAAAATCAAGTTGAATATATGCCATTGTCTCTCTCTCTCTCTCTCTGTGTATATATATATATATATGTGTGAATTCCTTATAACTCCTACAATTTTTGTCCAATCCCGATGAAATTTTGGTTATATTCATTTTATATTCTGTGGAAAGTATAGCCTACTTATTTTGTGGAAATATTAGCTATACAATAAACATTTTATCGATTTCAGATAGTTGATAGCACTTATGTTGCAGTGACATCAGTCACATCATTTAGTTCATGCTTGACAACTAAATTCCTCTTAAGTTGCATTTTTAAATATTTTGGCAAATGGCATATTTTAAATTTACTTCATTAAATTTAAAATTTAAAAAAAAGATAGCAGCATTGTATTACTTCTATAACAAATTTTTAGAATAATCTTTCCATAGTGACTATGTGACATTCTATTATCCAATCAGAAGTAATGATCTAATGAGCCTGTTATTTAAAAAGTGTTACTGCTCATCTAACTAACATATGTACAANCCCCCTATAACACTGTTGATTATTCCGTTTTATATGAATTCCATGTTGTACGAGTTACTTAGATTTTACAAATATGTGTGCCAGGCTGTGAACGGCTCACGTATACAGGGGGGTCGACTGTAATTTATTTACACAACTACAGTAGAGCATCATTTATCCGAAAGAATTCCAGTCGGCAAATTTAAATTTCCGCTAGTGCTGTGGCGCTGCAATCTTTAGCTATATCTTGGGCTACTCCAATATTTTTTTTGTTGATGTGTGTGTTTTAGCTGGCAGCACTGGCATTTTTGTGTAGTGTTTTTCTGAGGACTGTGTGTCATGCTGAACCGAACGTTTTTGATACTAAATTAACTTCTAAAGTATAAATTTTTTTGTTTTTATATTTTTCAATATATTTATTTTGTTTGTAAAAAATAAAGAAATAATTTTTACCGATACAATAGCCACGATTATTATTTTAAAAAGTTTACATTAGGCTTAACATCAATGAAAATTCAATGCAAAGCAACACGCAATGGAGAAAAATTTCAACACGGGATAGGTTAATATATTTTTTCGTACATAATCGGTTATCCGAAAAATAAGTTATCTGAACAACCCCAGTCCCCAATTGATTCGGATAAATGACGCTCTACTGTAACTCAAACCATAACCTTCTAACTAGACTATCTTGTCGGATAACTGTCAACTCTTGCACCTGGGAGTTAATTGTTTGTTAAGTTCTCAGCAGCTAAATGACACTTTCTCATAAACTCCCAACCTATTATCTCAAGTATGCCAGTTGAATATAACAAGAAACCGACAAAGTTGGTAGTCCGGCTGTCTTCCAAAAGTGCAGTTGTCACACAATTTTTACTACACACATTGCCTCCAGTTCTTTCACCTTCTCATTTACCTTAGTGAACTTTCCTGATCACCTACGGAATTAGTGAATGCCATCCTTGGATTAACATCGTTGCTGAATACCTAATAGGACTATCTTGTCTCCTCCCCACTGAATTTTCCGACTCCGGTCAACGAAGTTGCTCCATCCTACGGAAATCCAGTTATATCAGGTATCTATCACCATGCATTTTTTTGTAAATTCTCTCTCTCAAAACTTGTTAAGGCATGGATATAATTATATATCCCCTTTATCAGTTAGATCCCAGGGGTCCATGTATTTTTCTTTAAATTTTTCCCTAAATAAACTAGATTGTTTTGTTATCCTAGTCTCTGTGTGAGTCACTTCCAGCACACTGTCTCTCACTCCATCCCACCCAATCACCCACACACGCAGCCGCTCGCGTGACCGAATCAACACACCATCTTGGCTTTCGTGTCAATCGGAACACGGTGGTGTCAGTCCTGACAGGACATCAAAGAGGCACTGACCTCTGGCCACAGAATGTAGTGTATAAAGAAATTTTATAAGGATTTTAATATTTTTTAATATAAACGCCATCATCTGTTAGTATATGTAAGTAAATTCTCCATAACTCTTACTACTTTTGTCCACTCCAAGTGAAATTTTGTTTTGTTGCTCTTTATGTCATAACAGATAGTATAAACAACTTAATTTGTAGAAATATTAGCAACTCTTCTGGAATTTCTTGAAATCTCCATTCTTCTCAATTCTTCAATCTCTACTTTCTCATAAAAAAATATTCTGTAATGCTTGATGGGAGAATTTCTAGTAATAATATATTCAGAACACTTGAATAATTTGACATTGCTATTGTTGAATACAGAAAAAAGATGAAAAAAAAATCATCTAATCATCTATAAACATGAAAATTTACACCTTCTTTTCAATTTTTAGCTTTCACTGTTTAAAAAATGAACTTTTTCAGCTACATTCAGATATAGAATTTGCTTAACCTGACACAGGCCACCAAATGTAGCCAAAAATGTTCATTTTTTAAACAGTAAATGCTACAAAATTGAGAGAAAGGTGTAAACTTTCCTGTTTACAAGGGTGTTTCAGCTTTAGGATTTAATAAGTATAATTATCTGTTGATGCAAAACAAAATTAACAAATCTAGTTTAATTAACTGATAATTTAAAAATTTTTAATTTCAAAATGAGTCAAAAATATTTTTGTGTATCTATCTACCTTCTCAGCAATACTAGCTATTTAATAATAAACCACACACACCTGATTTGTATTTGCCGAGTTATTTTCTTTATGCAAACATTTTTGGCCAATTTGTATAGGCCATCTTCAGGCTTTAACGTTGTTCGTTCCAATGGAACCAATAGTTCGAAATTCATTTGAATTTGAACTTTTAACAACGTATGTGTATAATAATCCATAAACATTTTTATGATCTGGAGTTTTTAGGATTTAGTAGTTCAAACTCAGTGAAAGTTGTTATAATTTTTGTTTTGTTTTTTGTTTTTTCATTATTTAATAATAAACCACACAAACCTGATTTGTATTTGCCGAGGTATGGGTTTTAATAATCCATAAACAGTTTTATGGTCTGGAGTTTTTAGGATTTAGTAGTTCAAACTCAGTGAAAGTTGTTATAATTTTTGTTTTGTTTTTTGTTTTTTCATTGTTAAATTGAAATGCGATTTTTGATTACATTTTATCATATATTTATTTTAATTTACGTTTTTCATGTTATTGTTAAGTTGCAACAAGTTTTTGATATTATTCTTAACTATTTATTATACACATACGTTGTTAAAAGTTTAAATTCAAATGAATTTCGAACTATTGGTTCCATTGGAACGAACAACGTTAAAACCTGAAGATGGCCTATACAAATTGGCCGAAAACGTTTGCATAAAGAAAATAACTCGGCAAATACAAATCAGGTGTGTGTTGTTTATTAATTTTGTGTATAAAACCGGGTACAATTTACTAAAGAAATAAAATGTATAAAAGCAAAATGATTAATATAAATTCCAAGCAAAATGGCAATTGTGTTTTGATCATTAAGAAACTTTAATGCAGAAAAACATTGTTATCTTAGTTTTGAATAATTTATATTAGAAATCAATTTCTTACAATTAAAATTTTAACTATTGTCATTTTTCCTTTGTATAAGAAGTAATAGAAGTAGAAGAATACAATAAAGAATTTTAAGAAATGTTATTCATATATATGGGATATTATGAGAATAGATTATTTAGTTTCGGATTATTAGAGATAATATAAGTATTTTTTTCAATCAAGTACATGAACAAACTGACTTGAAGTTTGTTAGGAATTTGTATTTTCCAATGGTAATTCAAGAAAGTTAAGTGAAAATATTTTATTTCTCACAGCTTTGATTAAATCTGATTCATAATGTATATATTAAAACAATAAATCAACTATAATTATTCTGTAATTTATTTATAAATAACAACAAAGTGTTGTAAAGCACAATTAAGTAAGTCAAAATTAAACGGATAATTTTGACTTTTTTTTTAAAATAAAAATTATACAGTTTTTCTCATTTTTGTCTTAACTGAATAATTATTTGCTATTAAAATAGTAAAATGTAATTATTTATGGCATTATACTAACCTTGTGGCAATAGTAAATGGCCGACACAATTTGTCGAAATATCCTACGAGCTTCGGCTTCAGGAAGCGATTTCCTACTTTTCAAGTAATCATACATTTCACCACCACTAGCATATTGCATCACCAAGACTATTTTTTCCTTATTTTCAAATACTACAAAATAAATGAAAATAAAGAAATTAGGATTCTGAAATAAAATATAAATTCAGAATATATTAAGACTAATTGATTTGAATTAAATATTATTGAAATTTGATTTAAGCATAGGTAATTGTACTTGATTACTTAAAATTCAATTCTGAAAGAAAAGACTAATCCACCGTAGAACTTGAAATGAGAAGTTATGCAATGGAACATGCAAAGTTCCTTTATAAAATGATTTGCATCTTAAATTCAAACTAGTACAGTATTTTAATTATCATTTTTAATCAATCTAAAAAGAAAGTTTTTCCTGATTCTTAAATGAAGTTATTTATAATTGAGCAATTTAAAAACTTAATATTTAATATGCAAGTATAAGAAATTAATTACATTATATTATTAAACACTAATATTCTTTAATATGTAATAAAAATATCAGACATTTAAATTACCTTCATGTATATGTATTATGTGAGGATGTTGAACATAAGACATAATTTGAATTTCTCGGCGAATTCTTACCAAATCTTGTTCATTTTCTATTTTAGCTTTCTTAATTGTCTTAATTGCAACCTTGAAATCAAAAATTTATATAATAAGTAATTCATTTATATAGATATATATTAACATTACTAGAAAAAATAACCAATAAATAAATTCATAAAGACTGCATATTAAGAACTAGAAACTTAATAGTTTTTGTAGTTTTTCTAAAATTATATATCTGATGATAAGCCAAACAAGCAAGCCTTACAAGAAATAACTATAAAATCTTTAATTAATAAAGAAGAAAATAAAATTAATAATAAAGTTTTGATATTTCATGCAATACAATCAAGACGAGTTTAAAATAATTTTTTAATATATAATTCTTTATACTCCATGAGCATTAAGACAATCTTTTTATTTTTTCACATTTATCACCAGTTAAGCCAGACCAACAATGGAGAAGACCAGGTAGTGAGAGATCAGTTCCAACATATCCAAGTCAGTCATTTCTGAAAATTTTAAACCAATCTAGACTGAAATCCAGATCCTTCAAGGCAGTAAAGACACAAACTAATGAATAAATCAGTTGACACCTTTACCCCTTGAGGGATTCTGTACTTTAGGAATAATTTCAGATGAAATTATGCTTGGAAATTGGAAAAAATAACAATTAAATAAAAATTATATTATTAATTAAATAAATAAAAACATTACAAAGAATGAATTTATATCATTATCTATGAATAAAAGAATCATTAATGTATGACAAACCATACAATTATATGTATACATATAAACATTAGAAATTTTCCTGTTAAGTATGACAGACTACTTTCTATGAGAAAGTAGAGATTGAAGAATTGAGAAGAGTATAGATTTCAAGAAATTCAACAAGAGTAGCTAATATTTCTACAAATTCAATAGCTTAGACTTTCCGTCAGAACATAACTGAAGCACTATAATAAATTTTAAATAACAGGCTTGTTAGATCATTACTTCCAATTGAATAAAAGAATGCCACGTGGTCACTATGGAAAGATATTTTTAAAAATTTGTTATAGAAGTGACATGACCAGGCTATCTTTTTTAAAATTTTAAATTTAATGAAGTAAGTTTAAAATATGCCATTTGCCAAAATATTTAAAAATGCAACTTAAGGGAAATTTCAATATCAAGCATGAACTAAATGACCTCATTTAGTCTGATGTCACTGCAATGTAAGTGCAATCCCTGAACCAAAATTGATAAAATATTTATTGTATAGCTAATATTTCCACAAAATAAGTAGGCTATACTTTCCACAGAATATAAAATGAATATAACCAAAATTTCATCTGGATTGGACAAAAATTGTAGGAGTTATAAGGAATTCACATACATATATAGAGATGACAGCTTTTATATTATATATATATATATATAAAAACAAAGCAGAAATTGTTATTTAAAAATGCA